AAATTAATTTAATTAAACAATAAATATATATATTAATTTTAATATGAGCTGAATTGGAGATATTTTTTTTATATTTTTTCAGGCTCAATTACCAACGTGATTCTCGTCGGTAACTAGGAAAACAAAAATAAAAAATGGCGCCTGAAAAAATTGGCACCTAAAATTTTGGAGATGATTTTGAACCTGCAGCGAAAATCTTTGTGTAGTTCAGACGTGGTTTTTGTCGGTGATTTACTAACATGGCCCAAATTGCGAAGCATTTTTCCTGCATTGTCAGAGGTGATGTTCGTCGGTGATTAGTGCTGGGCACAAGGCTTCTGTATATGTTCAAACGTTATACTTGTCGGTAATTTACCGACATGGGAACCAGAGATGTTTTCTGGTGGACTGTTCTGGCTCCTTATTTCCAAGATGTTCTTTGTCGGTAATTATGGGTGCGTTTACCGACGTGATTTCCATCTACGTCGGTGTTTGAATTACTGAGCATGGCTTCACCGAGAAACCTATTATCGACGTGATTCAAGTGGGTATTTGATTTCACCAACCAGATTCCTCTCTTTTGTCGACATAGGTTCTCGTCGGTGATACAGTAAATTCTTGTAGTGAAATCAGTTTAGGTCCTACCACCATCTCAAAAATAATTCAAAATATGCCTTTAAAACCTTTACCTTAAAATCCAAGGGTATTTACCATAATTTTGCAGGTAGACAACTAGCAAGGAATTGATAGCAAGTTCTAGTCAGGTTGTAAACCAAAGATTGCAACTAAATTCATGCCTTGAAATCAATAGAATTGGGCAGAATGATCTACAGATGAATCATAGCCTTTGCCGTTAGCTTTCCATAGCTTCAAGAATCACTTCAATAGAGAAAGTTATGGTCAAAATACTAACACAAGGTCAGGTTGCCAATTTCATTCATCTTCAAGAACTAAAACTTGCAGCAAAGTTTTCACCTTGGTAACACCTAAACTAGGTTAAATGTTCAACAAATAAATTGTAGAGCTATCCCTTAACTCTCCACAGAATCAAGAATTGACTTAATTCAATAACTACAAAAAGAGTTATGGGCAGAATACTAACACAAGGTCAGGCTACCAAAATCAAAGTCACTCACATATGAAATGAGCTTGTAGATTCTTAATCTTACACCAAACAAACCAAATTTAATGGGCATGACAGCAAGCAAAACACTCAAATTTTTTTTGGGCAAACGGAGTAGAATTAGTGAGAAACCAAGCTTGAAACAACCCTAGACAGTAGCAAAAAAAGTTGGGTAGCAAGATGAGATTTTCCCTTATTTGAAGAGTCCCAAAATGTCTAGAAAAACACCCTGAACAGCAAGGATTATCTAAGCAAAAATAGCAGCAAAAATAGTGCAAAATAGAAGCCAAACTAAGTAGAAATACACAACATTTAAGCATAAATGCAATAGTTGAATGTAATTAAAAATTTGCACAGCTTTGTGCATGCTTTATGTGCAGAAAAATCATGGGAACAAGTGTTGTTTTTATAGCATAAAACTACATGTTTTTAAATAGTATATATGTATAATTTTTCAAGAGCAAAACAGGTTAAAACTGAAGCAGCAAATATAGATAACAAGAGCAGAAATCAGCAAATTCTTTTAGGATAGAACAGCTAGGGTTTTCTGGGCAAACAACAACAAAAAAAGCTCACAATGGTTGTTCAAAAATAGTGAAGCAAGAGTACAGTTAATAAGAAATTTCTAGGCAAAGAAGATCAAAAGAAAATGAACCAAAATCTAAGCTAAAATAAACAATATTTCAACAGCAAAGCAACTAAGACAAGGTAGTACTTTGGTGCTAGAAACAACACCCAAATAGATTCATTAATGGAACTACTAGTGTAGAAATTTTACAACCAAAATTGGACAAAAGCAATCAACAACAAAACAGGAATTGGTGACCAAAACAGATGCAAACAAGCTAGTACAAGGGCATAAAACAACGGTAAAAACAATGTGAAAACTTGGTAGAAAAGTGAAGAAAGCAGCAACAAAAAGGCAGTCATAGAAATGCACAAATTCTAGTATGGGAAATAGGGAAAATCTGTGGTATGTAAGGCAAAAACCGAGCTTTTAATAGCGCATATCAGTCAAGAAATCTCAACACAAAAGTGCAAAAAATACATGGTTCACATACAAAATTTTTCAAGCAAGGAGATCAGTAATATTAACCATGTGGTTGGTAAAATCGAAGGGAAAAACTAGAGGAAACTATCCCAAAATCAAAAATAGCAAAAGATTAAAGTTAACCCAACTCCATCAAGGATGGAAAGGTGAATTGTGGTTGTTTTTCTTACTAGAAAAGTTGCAAAGAGCACCCACTAAGCATTCAAATCACAAACAAGGAAGAACAAAAAGCAATGATCTTGATTAGAAGAAGCCGCGATCTTGATTAGAAGAAGCAGCATCGTAGAGAGGCTAGGAGGTTGACAGCTTCTTGATTTGGAATTGGAATAAAAGAGAAGAAGAAAGTCCCAAGAAGAGAAGAGAAAACTCGAAAAGGGATTAGGTCTTCCTTCTATTTATACTCCATTCGTCACTCTCTCGTTCTCTCTTTCTCTTTCTTTCTCTCTCTCTCTCTCTTACTGCTAACATCCCTAAGATTGAAGAGTTTGACAACTTGGTCCCCTATTAAAATCCCATTTCATATTAGTCATCTCACACCTAAATAAAATAAATAAATTATTCAACATATGTGCTTAAAATTTGATGTATTACACCAGCACTTCATCATATCAACATTGATGGGATTGGAAGATATCAACAAATCTAAAACGGATTTATAATCCATCTTTCCATCATTAGAATTGAGAGGAAATTGTTTTTTTTTTTTTTTTTGGTACTAACCCTTTCGTATCCAATAGCCACATTGAGCCCCAATTAATCTGGAGTTGAGCCGTGTCGAACTCCATAAAGGAGGAAGCCTTCTCAGTGCCTATTTCTCCATTCACAAGACTTGAACTCAAGACCTTACTTAAAAATAACTAAGCTCCTTCCACTTAGACCAACAAGTCGTTAGTAGAGGAAATTGTTTATACCTATACATTTTTGTATCAATTACAAGGACACAACGATGGCAATCCATCAAAAGGGATAATGTGGAACTAAAGCATACTAAGAATCAAGGTTTCCCTTAACTTTTCTTTGGAAACACAAATTGAATATAACTAGGTGAATAGTTGTGGGATTAAGTTATCCATATCTTATTTTTAACTGGCCTAAAATTATATTTTATAAGGGATGTGTTAAACCCTCGAGTATATGAATCACAATCCTTAAATTTAACTTAATTTTTATCATTAACTTAATCTCTTTTTTATTTAACGTAATCAAGTAATTAGTGTAATTAATTAAAAAAATGCTATAGTTAGAATACTACGTAGCATTGTAAAATTAAAATATGATTCATTATTATATAATTAGCTTTTTTTATTCAGGAATCTACTAGTAATATTATATGCATATATTTATTTAATACCACATCATATTTTATATAATATCGCATATGATTGTAAACAATCCTACATGGCATTGTAACCATAGTATAGTCAAAATTAATTGAATTCTTATTAAAGTTAGTTGTTTTCTTTAATTGTTTTATATATGATTTAAATAAAAGATTAACTAACTATTTTTTATTACGATTAAAACTTTTTTCCCTACCAACTCAACAACAATGGGCCCCCAAATCAAGCCATTTAAACAACTTTAACAGAGAGTTAACGTTTTACTGACGTTAGAGATGGCAAAATTTAACCAATCTAATGGGAATCAAGACGACAGCATATCTACTACGTCATGTGATCCATTACACACCCAAGGAGGTCCAGTCACGTGAGCTAGAGCTAAGAAGATGCGTGAAGCTTTAAATGGCTTTATTGAGCAGATCTGGGTTGAAAACAACATACAACAAGAAAATCGAAGCTTGGATGATTATCAAGGCATGGTAAACATCATTCAGGTTCAAGAGAAGTTTAGTTGAGGTCATTTGCACGGAATTACACAGTTTGTGTCAAAATCGCACAATTTTACTGCAATTTGTAGCAAACTGATATTTCGTGTTATTTTAGGTTATTTTTAGTGATTTTCACGTTTTTTGTATTATTTTTGGGCTGAACATTCGCTTATTTGAAGCCCAATTCGTGGTTATTAGGTTTAGGACTTAGGGTGTTAATTTC